TGAAGGGTGGCACCTCTCCAAATTGCATTTGGTTATTAATTTGAATTTCCTTCCATAAACAAGCATCAGTGCTGTCTAAAGCAGGTTAAAAATATTAATAGGAGTTCGTAGGGCAAGATGAGGTGGTTTGGCTACTAACCACTCTGTTATACAATTTCCAGGGCTCAGGGTTTTTTTCCCTCTAGTCCTCTTTAACATATGCATGAGAGGACCCCAATCCAACCACTTTGCTAATACAGAGTTAAGTACCATTCAGATGACACCTACCTAGGTATTTGCAGCTTGGGTCAAATGATATAATGGTGGCCTCACTTGGAATAGGGTAACCTGTTCTCATGGCCTCCCCACTCTATAGAACCAGAGGTCGCTTATAAAATGTGCCTGGCAATAATTAAATTCAATGAGAAGGGATACAGGAGTGGACATTATCTGTGGAGCTCCTCTCTTTAGGACTGTTCAGTACTGCATATTAGATAAACACTTTCACTATCTCTTTAAGTATTTAAAATTGATGTTGTATTCCTTTTTGTAAATATGACATGGTATATGCATTCATGTTAGAGGAAAGTCATCTGTCCAGAATTTAGAAAAGTGGTAGAAAAGGGGAAAAATAGATAGAGTGGGTAATTTAAATTAATAATTTTAAGTTAATTGCATGAATATGTAAGAAACCCATTTGAATGAACAATCAGCAAGAGAACCAATCAGCTGCTCAAAATTTAAATATAGGTCTGTCCGAACAAACAACCAATCAAATAACCAACTGACCACACTGGCACACAAAACGTACGTAAGCTAAAGAGGAATAGGACAAGAAAATCCTGCTGATAATGTTATCTAATCTGGTAACGAAATGTTCAGAAATTAAATTGAAACAAGCTTGGAGAGCTAAAAAGCATTTTCTATTATTTCAAAAGTAATCTAAGTTTCTGCTATTGATAGAAGTAGCTGTAATGTTCCTTTGTTTGATGAAAAAGAAAGTTTAAAAAGTTCATTTTAATCTGCTAGTGGTAAAGGAACCTGAACATTTAAATGCTTTCAGCTGTAATGTTTTCACTGAGGTAAAATTTATGCTATTTATTTTATTTCAACCATTTATATGTTCATCCAACTTACAAGGTAGTCAGTGGTAGGTTTCAAATTTTTTTAGAACCTGTAGATGTGGCCTGCTTTGTGGGAGTAGCTTGCCAGCCATGTGACTGGGTGGGAGTGGCTTGGCAGTCATGTGACTGGGTGGGCATGGCTAACTTGTAATATGTAGTGAAACTCACTTAACAATGCTCTTGCTTAGCAACCAAAATGTTGGCTCAGAAACTCTGCCATTTGAAGCACACAAGTCTTAAAGCTGTCNTTGTTAAGTGAGTTTCACCACATTTTACAAGTTGGCCACTCCCACCCGGTCACATGGCCAGCAAGCCACTCCCATGCAGTCACATGACTGGCAAGCCACTCCCACAAAGCAGGCACACCTACAGAAGAGGTTCTAAAAAAATTTGAAACCCACCATTGATACGTACGTATTGTACTTTCTGGAGTATAAGACGCACCAAGATTTTGAAGAGGCAAATTAAAAAAAAAGGTTTTTGCACTCTGCAGACCTCCCAAAAACGGTCTGGTTTTTTTTTTGTGAAAAGTGGCCCTTTTTTTCTTTCAAAAAAAGAGTATGAATCGCCTTTAGGAGAAGGTTCAGAAATGATCTTCCAGGCTGTGCAGAAATCTGCATAAGAAATCTCCATAATAATGAGGAAGGATTCAAGGACCATGGACATATCTGGTCTACAAAAGAAGCTTTGGGGACGTGATAGTAGTCAACAATTACGTAAAAAGTTGTTACATGAAACATAAGAACATACATGTATTGAAACAGAGAGCGGGCAAGAACAAATGGATATAAAAGAAAGGAAGTAAAAGCTGTTGAACAGTGGAACCGTCTGTCCACAACAACAGTAGACTCCCCTGCAGGAGGTCTCCAAATGGGGGTTAAATGGCAGTCATACCCGGCTTAGTCGACTTGTCCATTGAACGTAGGGTGAACTAGATGACCTATGATAATTCTTCCAACTCTAATATTCTGTGATTCTTTGAATAATCATAATTACTTACTTAATCCATTTTAGATAGTTTAGGGCAGAAATCTTCAAACTGGAGTGAAACCAGGTTTTTATAATACAAAATATGCCATACGTTTGTCTTCCGTGTAACAACCCATTCTCAAACATTTTGGTGGGTTTTTGTTACCAGTGTTCTGAAAAAGATTCTGTGATGTTACTAACATAGATCTGTTCACCAGGGAAAGAACAATACTAGAGAGGAAGTCTACACCAAAAACTTAAATTGCTTTAACAGGTTCTACTACCCCTTAGAGAACTTTAAAACTCTAGACCTATAAACGACACCAGGAATTTCTAACTTTACCAAACTAAAAATTCACAACAGTTAAACTAATTTCAAGCAAATACAAATTTACAGAACACAGCAGTGTTTCCCTTTTTCCTCTCCTGTGGAGAGCCTCTTATTTCCTCACTGAAGACATCAGTAATGATGGGCAAGTTTACTACATTATATGTGCAGTGCTAACCGCAGGACATTGGACGTGCTTTAAAACGTATTGTTTATTCATTCTGCCTCTGAACAATGGCAGTATGTTTGCAAAGCTTTGAAAAAGAATCTCCTGTTTTCTAGTCCTAACAGCATGCCATATACCCTCTTGATACTTACCTTTTCTAATCTTTTATTGTTTTCTTTCAAAGGAGTGAGAAGGGCTTGATCTTGCACAAATGGCTGTCATGACAAATATGGCCTGATCCAAGCAACAGTTAACAAAATAGTTTCTGCCATCCCATCTCGCAGGATGCTTATTATTATTATTTCTGATTTTTTTTCTTTCTTTCAAGCTTTTCATGGGTAGTGTAATGCCAACAAACCTAGGCTGCAGCTGCCATTCATTTTTATTTTGTAACATTTGGGTCCCAAAGGTATTCTTTAAACTTCTGCTTCTGAAGTTTTGGTACTTGCTGATTATAAGCTTCCCTTTTTAAAAATAGAATGACCTTTTTAAAAGTAAAATGTCAAGTAGGTAAGGAAGGAAGGTCATAAGTAAGTTGGCGCCACTTTAGATTTAATACCTATCTGAAAATCCTTTTAAGCTGATGAGGTAGGAAGAATTCTTTGTCTGCAGGGATTATTTACTGTTGTAAAAAAGCAATCCAATATTATATTTCCTTTTGCTGAGTTCTTGCTGTGTTAGAAACTGTTGCAGGAAGTGCAAGCCGCAGCAGATACTTCAGACAAATGTGATTCCCTCTCACTTTGAAATATTTAAGTAGCATCCATGTAGGTTTAGCCATCTAGTACTTCCCAGTACTTTTCAATTGCCATGCTGAGTAAGCCTTACAAAAACTATAATATGAAACAGATGGAAGGCACCTCGTTGCCTATCGCTCTTACATAAACTTTGCACTTAGTGCTTTGCTTCTGTAAGTGACTTGGCTGACCTGAAGTCTGAACCTGTAATCTTTTAGTGCTAACGCTGTTGGAAGAGGTTCATGGTATAGATTCAGTGTTTTTTATATTTAGGAAAAGCTACAGCGATGTGGGCATTCTATTTTTATGCTTAAAAGTTACTATAAAGAAGATTAGCTTTAAAATAAATCAAAGTTTGAAATATGAGCATTGCCTCACAAAAGACCATAGAAAATTATGTCTGGAAGGATTTTTTTTCCCTAGCATTTTTTATTAAATAACAACAGGAAGACAGGAAAACAGCACATTGCTTCCAAAAAATTCTGCAATTAATTTTGGAACCATCATCCAGTGCCTCAGAAAATTGTGCAATGGTGTTGACTCAAGAGTTTAAACTATAATCTTTAAGGAGAAATGATCCCATTTATAGATCATTCACTATAACTTAGTAGGCAGTATAATTTAATAAAATCAATGTAATGTAACACAATATAATTTAATAGGCAATCATTTTGGAAAAGTATTTCTTTGGTGATTACTTTGGAAAGCTATTTCTATCGTGGATAGTGCTTAGTCTGATCATAAAAGTCACACTTGTTTAATAGACATAATATTTTAGTATATTCAGGATTGCCACAATGAAAGAAAAATAATTGTTGATCATCTATATTGGATTAGCCAAAAAGGCATCAATGCATGCCATCTTTGATTATGACAGGGAAGTATTGTATCTTTTAGCCATAAAAATTCCCCACTGGGTAAACATGCTATAAATAGGCCAAATCTTGGCGGGAAAGTTCTGCAAATCACATTATATTTTTTGGACAGCTTTTTGAAGGATAATATTATGCTACCTGGTATTGAACCTATATGCTACTGCATGTCTCAAGAAATTGTCATGGGACATGACCTAAACAAACTGGGGCAGCCACTGCTTTAATCTCTGTGAAGGAGTTTGGAGAAATGCTCCGCAGGTGCACTCTTTTTAACAACAGCAACAGTAAAAAATTAAACGTACAAAGGTTTTTTCCAGAAGCTTATTTATCCATGCATCTGTTATACCCAAGATGATTTTAAAAAGCAATGTATCAGAAGTATTTAAGAGAAACCGCAAACTCTTTTTAAGGAACCACCCTATCCATTTTCTATACTTACAAGGATGTTTTTTCTGTTCGTGATTCATTTCACTCCAACATCAAGGGAACTGGAATAACGATTAAGCTAAGGAATGCATGTGTTTCTGGGTTTTGTCCCTTTCCAAAAAACTTTATGAATTATTGTTTCAGTGTTAAATAAATATATTACCCATAAATACTTTAGCCACTGTTAATAAAGTAAAAGAATACCACACCACTACTTCAGTTTCTTTTTTAATCCTAATCTAACACCCACACAGACTAAAATTTTCTTCATTGCTTTATTAAATATATCCATATCTTCAATTGTCCCAATATAAAATGATATAAAGCAGAAACTTAACAGTGTGCTAAATGAAATTAATTTTAATTTTAACTTTATGTTCTATTTACTCTTTATAGGTCTGTATGAGCTTCTGGCTTCATTGCCAGCCCAGCTGCAGCCACATGTGGACAACCAAGAAGACATGACCTTCCTCTGGGATATGTTTGGTGAAAAAAGCCTTCATTCTCTGGTAAAGGTAAACCACACTAAATGCTCATTCTTTCTGAGAAACATGTATGGAAAAACGTTTTGAGCAACCTCTAGTATACCAAGAATCAGTTACTCTGTGGAAACAAAACAGCCTTGTTTAGCTTCTGTGCTTCTGTGAGGGATGGAAGTTGTTAAAGGCTTCTACCAAAAATATTGCAATGATTTCATTTAATAGTGATGTTTTGGCAGAATGCATTAATGTAACAAACATATGATGTTTGCCCTTGTTTAGAACGAGGCAGCATGAATTAGTAGCAGGAAATCTGAAACTCCTTCATGGTCAACATTCATGGCCTGGAGTTTAGCTTACATAAACAAATGTTCACAGCAGAAATTAGATGGCATATATTTTTGAGGTAAAGTATGGCAACTATTCAGTAGCCACATTAATTTAAAATAATTTCCTTTAACAAAATCAACTGAAATTATAGTTGGTTCTTTAATTGGCTTGTATCCATCAAAGATTGTATTTTGTATATAAATATACTAAACTTGTATGACTAAAATAAGCTTAGTGAAGCAATTGAAGTGAAGTAATTAATGGATATGTAAAATCAAAACTGGTAGCTGTCCATGTATATTGTAGTTTATAATTTACAAAATTATTTGCAGTTTTGATTTCATAATTATCATGAAGCTTTTAGTTTAGAAATTAGACTTTTAAAGAAATGTGTAAAACAAGTCTGCTACTTGGACTTTATACTAAATTTGGGGTCCCTATCTTTTTGCAGAAATCTGCATTTATATAGCAGAAAACAGAGGGGGAAAATATTCATTTAGACTGTGATAATTCTTTATATGCTCATTTATATATTTATAAATTATTTGTATGTTGTTTATTCGTGGAATCTAATGAATTTACAGTTGTAAAAATACAGTAACAAATAACATCTCACAAAGCTGCTAGTTGACTTAACTGAAATTTTTATCATGGTGTTCATGGTTTCCTGAATATTGACTTAGGGTGAGGGATGTCAAATTGTTCTACAGCAAGGAGATTACTGCTAAGAACACCATCCTCTAGGTCTCCTAATTTTTCAGATGTGAGGATCCCATAGAGCTCTCTGCTGGCTAGCATGTATTGGCTGGCAATGATCCTGGAAGTAACAAGACAATATTTATGACTGCATTTCTGCCAGAAGACAATTAAAAGAATATGAATCAGTAAATTTAGGATGTTCTGAGTTGATAAATCTTTTCTTAGTTTGCAGTAAAGGAGTGCTTTGGGATATATTACTGCATCAGAAAGATGCCTAAGCATCTTTAACTCCATTTGGCCAGATGGTTTACTCGTTATATGGTAACTGCAATCATTAAAACACTTAAAATGTCTCTTAAAGATTAACATCCTACTCAGTAGAAGGCTAATCTGGAAGAACCACTTCTTATTTTTTTTAAAAGGGAAAATTTTTAATTGTTGGAGACTTATTCAAAATGGAATATTTCAGATGATACAGTCATGTAATGTAATGGCTCTTTCAGACAAGTTATTTCACCCCAATTTTGTTCTGGCAGATTCACTGATATTAAGATACTTATCTTTTATTTAAATTATATATTAATTATTTGGAAAGAGCCAATGTGGTGCAGTAGTTAAAGTGTTTGGCTGAGAGTGCGGGGAAACCCAGGCTCAAGTCTCAAGTCCATAGTCAATGATGGAAGCTTCCTGGTTAATTTTAAACTTGGTTCATCATAATCTCGGAGGGTTGCTTTGTGGGGAAAAAAGAGGAAATGTTATCTCCGTGTACCTCATTTTTTGCTTCAAGGTATAAGTCCAGATGCAAATCTAATAAAAGGAAAGATAACAAAGGTGGCTCTTGCAGTTTTTAGGGTTGTAAAGTATTAGACATCTTGCCCAATCAACACAGAAGAATATTTATAGCTCAGGGTTGAAATGAGGAGTCCTTGATGCTCTCTGAGCTTGCAGATGTTTCAATACCCAAACTAGGTAGCATCATTAGTTGCTGGTAAGGAGTGGGCCCTCTGACAAATTAGCCATTAAGAAACTGCTAAAGAAGCCAACGGGAAACAGCCCAACCAAAGAGTCCCTAAGACCATGCCTGCCAATAGCGACAGGGCAAGACTCTATAATGTAGAGTGAGAGCAAACCCCACTCCTTGCCAGCAATGATTGAGTAATGTTTGATCAGAGGGGTAGAAAACATCTTGATCACCATTGAATTTGTCTGGTACTTTAAAATAGCCTAAATTATTGATAGTCATCTAATGACATTTCCCCCCCACGATTTAAACAGGTATATAGGATTATCTTTTTTCACAGTTTGTATGGTAATCTTGTACAGTTCTTTTATAAAGCCCATATGCAGAATGTGTTTAGAATTTTTCCTCCCACTTCCTGAAGTTGTTCTTCTGAATCCCAAAGTTTTTTTTTGTTACTGCCCTAGCTAATATGCTGTGATAGATCTTTCCCACATGAATGTCTCTTAATTACATGATAGAGGCCCCTAAGGCTCAAAGTAGACATTAATTTAAATAATACCCTTTTCTATTTAGCATGGTTGTTTCAAAATATAAAAACAATCATTCCTCAGAGAATGTCATGGGAAGTTCAGTATTCCAGTATTCAGTGCCAATTGACAGTCATAAATATCTTTAGAACTGTTGAAAACACAAGGAATATATTTTGTGGAAGAACACGTTTTGAGCGCTCATATTTTCTTCTTAACATGTTTATCAAGTAAATTTCAATTCCTGTATTTTAATTTATTTGATGCTATTTTGTGTAAAGATGATTTTTATCTCATTCTATTCTGCTATCATATTTTATTATTTACGTGTATCAAATGCACTACACTGTCTTTAGCTCTCGGTCTTTCCATCTGGAGTCTGAGGAAGAGTTGTAAAGCAAATATTTGTCAGGCGTTTGTTCTCTTAGTTTGTAATTAGCATTCTTGTTAAGAAATGTCTGAACTGAAATATAAAAATATCTTTACAATTTTGCTTAATATACAGTACAATACAATGCAATAGCAGAGTTGGAAGGGATCTTGGAGGTCTTCTAGTCCAACCCCCTGCCTAGGCAGGAAATCCTATACCGTTTCAGACAAATGGCTATCCAACATCTTCTTAAAGATTTCCAGTGTTGGGGCATTCACAACTTCTGGAGGCAAGCTGTTCCACTGATTAATTGTTCTAACTGTCAGGAAATTTTTTTCTCAATTCTAAGTTGCTTCTCTTCTTGATTAGTTTTCACCCATTGCTTCTTCTACCCTCAGGTGTCTTGGAGAATAGTTTGACTTCCTCTTCTTTGTGGCAACCCCTGAGATATTGGAACACTGCTATGTCTGCCCTAGTCCTTCTTTCTATTAAACTAGACACACCCAGTTCCTGCAACCGTTCTTCATATGTTTTAGTCTCCAGTCCCCTAAGAGATATTTGCTGTGCAGGTGACATGATGCATTAAAATTACATTCAAACTTCCATTTTGTTTGCTAATTGTGACATGAGGTGTTTATTTTTATTAGGCATATAGTCCCCACTCATCCTAACAAGAACCTAAGGAATTGTAAACTATAATATCTGTGTTGCATTTCTAACAGTTCTAGGGTCCTTCTGAAAGGCATTGAAACACTTGTAATGTGAGTTGCATATCTCTCTTTTTAAAAAAATCTGTTTTGTCTTAGTTTTGTATTTTGAATGTTTCTGCTATTGCTACATCTCAGATCAAGTTCTGATAAACTTTGCCTTGCATTGTCTATTATGAAAATATCTATACAATAATTGTCAAGGCCAAAAATATCACAACCTAGGAAAAATAGTTATAGGTACCCATCATGTTAACAGTATATGAATTATTTGTTACTCGTGAAGGTTAGTAACAGTGATGTCATTTCTTTTTTACCTTCACAATTTTTGCTGATACTAGATCACATCAGATCTTCTTTTTGAGTTGCAAACAAAATTATGTTCTAAAATGAATAATCTCTAGCTCTGAATTCTATGCAACCGTTAGCAATTAGACTGAATTTTGAAGGTGATGTGAGTCATCATAAAACAGTTTTTAACTTTCAGAGACTTTATAGATTTAGATCTCTCTTGATAATGTTCCAATGTTTTTCAACTTTGTTTAAAGTTTAAAGTTCCTAAATTTAAACCAGTATATCACTTGATCTTTTAACATGTTCTGTCCTGTACTTCCAACCATTCATAATCCAATTTCTCCAAAGAATCAGATAAGACCATGATGGCGAACCAATGGCACGCGTGCCACAGATGGCATGCACAGCCCTTTCTGCAGAAATACAAGCTGTTGCCCCAGCCCAGCAATACTGCGCATATGCGTGTGCCTCCCACTGGCCAGATTTTCAGATCTGCACATGCAGGGGGATGGAGTGCATGTGTGTGAGGGTGTGGTGCCCTCCTATGGCCTGTTTTTGCTGCAGGGAGGCCTAGACCCAAAACGGGATGCAGGGGATGGTGCGCCGCCCCCCCCCCCCGGCCCACTTTGCTCCCAGGAAGCTGCAGGGAGGCCTAGTAGGCCCAAAACAGGACAGGAGATCATATGTATGTGCAGGGGGGAGGGGCGCACATTGCATTAAGAGTGCTTATCGCACGCAATGACAAAAAGATTAGTCATCACTGAGATAAGACATTCCTAGTTTGGTAATCTTAATCCCAATGATATCTCCCGTTTTCATTGTTTATTATATTTGCTCTTGAAGTACTTGAAGTATCATAATGTGAAGAAGTCTAGTTTTCTTCTATCTGCTTTTTAAATTATTATTATTGTCCAGATTTTCTTAATGTTAGTCATTGCAATGTGACCAAATAATATTCTGCATTTAATTTTAGTCCAGTGACTCCTGTTACGTAAATTTTGGAATTTTAAAAAAAGAAAGAATTCAATTTCTCATTGTTCACATCATGATTTCTATTGTTGTGGAAACTTTAGTCTTCTTGATATTTAAATGCAATACAGCCTTTTTACTTTTTTCCTTGACTTCTAGAATAAATTATTTTATATACTCTTCATTTTCTCCCCTTGGAAGGGTGCTCTTTGCATTTTTTAAAATATCAAATTTTTTGCTACCAAATGTGATTGAAATCTATTATTCTTTTACATTAAATTTACCTCAAAATTGTCCTAAAGTTGCTTTTCAAAAGGCAATTGGACTTTGTTTTTTTTCGTTGAAGAAATTTTGCTTCTCATCCAAGAAACTTCTTCAATTCTGACTGATTGATGGAGAAATCAAAGATTTATATTCCTTGTAATCTTCATCTGGTCATTAGCACTCTGAAGGTCGGTCCTTCGCTTTCTGAGAGTTGTTGAGGCCACTTGTGGGTTTATCTGCACCTTTAGGGTCCCCTGAATCAGAATGCAAATGGGTGTGGAACCTTCTTGGAAGAACATGGAGAATTAAATCCAAGAATCATTTTCTATATACTTCTGGAGTTTTCTCCTTTCTGGCCATATAAATAATGAATTTCTGAAGATTTTTCACAACTTTCCCTCTACTTCTACCATGGGGAACATTGGAGAAGATTGGAGCAGCAATCCAACACGCCTTTATACAACCAGCTATTGAACACAATGCAAAATATGAAGAGGGATAAGAAATTTCATTTTTCTATGAAATACAAGTGAAGATATTTTTTCCTGCAAGATCTGTATCTCCATTCCCACCCCACTACAGGGGAAGGATACTGCAAAATCTCAATTCCCTCCCCACTACTGGGGGAAAGATATTGCAAAATCTCCATTCCCACCCCACTCTGGGACCAACCAGAGGTGGTATTTAGCGGTTCTCCGAACTACTCACAATTTCCGCTACCAGTTCTCCCGAACCTCTTGAATTTTACCCCTGCCTTATAGGTCATCTAGTCCACCCCCCACCCCACCTATCAAGCAGGAGACCCTGCACCATTTCTGACAATTCTCTTCTTGAAAGTCTCAAGTGATTAAGCCCCCCACAACTTCCGAAGGGAAGCTGTTCTCTTGGTTGATTTTTCTCACTGTCAAAAAGTTATCTTTATTTCTAGGTTGAATCTCTTGGTCAGTTTCCATCCATTATTCCTTGTCTGGCCTTCAGGTGCTTTGGAAAATAGTTTGACCCTCTCCTCTCTATGGCAGCCCCTCAAATGTGTCTCCAACCTTGCAAATGGGTGTGAAATCTTCTTGGAAGAACTTGGAGAATTACATCGTAAGAATCATTTTCTAAATACCTCTAGAGCTTTTCTCCCTTCTGGCCATATAAATAATGAATTTCTGAAGATTTTTCACAACTTGCTCTCTATGTCTACCATGGGGAACATTGGAGAAGATTGGAGCAGCAATCCAACACGCATTTATACAATCAGCTATTAAACACAATACAAAATATGAAGAGGGGCAAGAAATTTCATTTTTCTATGAAATACATGCAAAGATAATTTTTCCTGCAAGATCTGTACAGCCCGGGGACATAAAATAGTTTTTGTTGTTGTTGTTGTTCCTCGTTGTCTTTAGCAATGAACATCTGGCAATGGGTGCTTTTGAGAGATAGGAACAGGTGCCTCAAAATTGCTTCTGTGTATTAATTAAATAGAGGTACGTACCAATGCAGCTTTGTTACACACCTTTTCCAGGTTTGAATCAGTTTGTATTTATTATGACCATGGGTTGCATATGCAGTAATCAATAAACAAGCCTATGAATATGTATTTTGAAAGATGTATTTTAACATATTTAAAAAAAGAGAGCATGGCATTCCTATATAGCTGTTCAAGGACTTCAGGTTTTAGTATGTGGTCTGCATTTATAAAACAGGATTGTTGCTAGAGCCTCATATTTCCATGTCAAAAAAGACAAGATGAGAGTTTCTCTTCCAACTTTTGAATACTCTGAAAGTGTCCAAGTTATTAAAAAAAAACCTTGAGATTAAAGTACCCAACAAAAACTCATCCAATTTTGAGAATATTTTTTCAGCAGCTGAGCAGGGAGTTTGGCTGTAAAAGCATAGAGAAATTTATCTTGGAGGAAGGGTAATTTGTTTGGCTTTAATCTGAATTTCCTCTATCCACCATGGGGACCTCTTCCTATAAGCAGAGTCATCAAAACACTTTCTCCTTATTGACCAAAAAAGTTCATTTGAATGAAGTCTCTGAAATCTCAAATAATAGCTGCTTTATTTTGTTATATGAGGAACAAAGAAGTCAGTTTCTTTCAGAAAGACCAACATTTGGTTTTTAATCAGGCTGTCCAAGGAGCGAGGGGTTTATAATAGTATTTAGATTATACACTTGCAAAAATAAAATAGTTTGAATAACTTAATTATTAATTCAGAGGATGTCTAGATTTTTCAATTATATTTAAAGACTGAAAATTGAAAGGGGAATGCAAAATAAGATTGCAGGTCAAATGAAGCAAATATATTGAATTAGAAGGGAATTTCAACATTAATTTTAATGAATTGAACACAGTACCATTTTGCATATAAAACTATAGTCCTAATATTAATGTTTTATAGTTTAAAACAAAATATTTGATGTAATCATTTTTGCAATTATAACTTTATAAATACAGCTAATCAAAATTTTCAAAAGAGCTTTACATTCTGAATTCCTGATATGGTTAAATCAGGATTAACACAGTTGTTAAAATCAATGAGAACTTTAACTACTTTTAAGCTTAGGGATTTTTTTTTTAAGTAACAATTTCTTAAGGGTTCCCCAATCTTCATGGACTTGTTGACACATTTGCAATTTTATAATTTGTTCTGTGAATTATACACATTTAGAAAATGACTTATTGTATAATATGTTGCTATTTTATAGTAACTCCTAAACCATTTTCTAAGAATTTATAAAAGCAGGCATGGAGTGTGTGATCAGTTTCTTCTTTAGAATAAAGGAAGCGCTTTTCGAAATAACTTGCAAATTTGGAAATATAATAAGTAATAAATTCACAAATTTATTGCCTTAATATAAATGTCCCAAGATAAATCAAAATCCATCTTTTTCAGATGGCTTCAAAATTGGTTTGGGCAAATCATGCAGAATTAATCACATCTATGATAGGTAAATAGAAATTATATTTAATAGTAGTATGTTTTGGGAAATGGGGAAAAACATGAAGGTACGTTCTTGCAGGTTTTCCAAACGTGTTATTAACTCCATTTTTGGCAGAGAAAATGTTACATTATATTGACTTGGTGCAGTCTAAGAGAAAAGTTATTTAAATGAGCAATTTGCTTACTGAAATGTTAGCAATCTATCACTTTCTTCTCTTGGTTATGTTTTAAAAAATGTTGCAAAAATATTCTAGCAAGGAAGAAACATTTTATGCAAAATGCAATGTTTGCAAATCATTGTGACAGAATGTCTAGATTTTATAATCAGACTGTAAACAGTCATTACTTGATTCTGTTGAAATATGAGGAAATACTAATGTTAGTTTGTTTAAATGCAGGAATATGTTGTATGTTTAAATGATTTGATATTTTATATGTTTTAAAAGACTTGAAGAAATGACCTGTTTACATCTTCTTACAAATGTATTTTATTCCATAGCTTGTCAAAAAACCTGTAATTGTATGTACAGGGGATAAAAACAGATGGTTGTGACATGGCTATTAAAATCTAAGAAACATGATATCTAAGTATATTTTGCTGAATAAATATTAGGAAAACAGCATAGTTCATTGCTTGTTTATATTAGTAACTTCAGAAGTATTGGTGGTAAAGTGTAGCATGTATTTTTGTTTTCAGAAGAATTATAATCTCTGAATCTTAAGTAAGGTGTAAGAAAATATATGAGGACAGATAAAGAACTATGAAGTAAAAAACAAGGGAAAGAAAAGTGAATGTAGGTTGACTGTATATTGGTGTACAATGGTTATCCCACCCCCTGGTTGGCTTCGTAATTTAATCACTTCACCAAAAAGTGATAATGAATTATATCTACATGTTCACTACTAAATGCTTCCGTAAAATGGGAAGGTTTTTTTTTTGCAGTTGTTTAATTAGTCAGTGTACCATGTTTTCCCGAAAATAAGATCCTGTCTTATTTTTTTGTCACTAAAAAAACTCACAAAGTCTTATTTTGAGTGGAGGATGTTGTCCACTCATCTCACTTGCTTGTGTTGTCCCCAGACTCCTTTTCACTGTCAGAGGCCTTCAGGAACTTCTTCAGCTTTGGATAGTTGCAGTAAGGCCTCACACACCTTGGCCCATTTGTTCTGCAGCCAGCAAGTCTTTCCTGAAGGCCTTTAGGAAAGCCTCTCTAGCTGATAACAGAGCCCTGGATCGATCCATAGCGATATTATCGGCTACAGAGTCCTTCAGGAAAGCCTTGCCAGCTGCAGCAAAAGAAATGGGCCGAGGTGTGGGAGATCTGGCTGCAACTATCCAAATTTAAGTAGTAAGCAGCTCCACTCCCCCAGCCCCACCCTAGTTTAATTTTTATCTGTACATCCTGGAGCGGGCAGAGTCTTAATTGGTGCTTATTTTGGGGGTATAGCTTATATTGGACGCACATGTAAAAATCAAGCTAGGACTTACTTGCTGAGTAAGTCGTAATTTCGGGGAAACATGGTATATCTCCAAAATATATTTCTACCGCTAACTAAACTTTTTTATTCCATTATTTCCTAGATTCATGAGAAATTGCATCACTACGAAAAACAGAGCCCTGTGCCCATGTTACATGGTGCATCAGCTTTGGCAGATGATGTAAGTGTGTACAAAACATCTATTGACATCACAGATTTTAAAGACTGAAAGCAGTGGATGGAATAAACATATGAAGTAGATCATTACAGAGGAATAGATAACACTTTCCAAAGAACTGTGATCATAAGATTTATCATCTTGTTTTGAATTGTATTAAATCTTTAATTCTAGAAACATATCGTTTAGAATGGTTCTCATCCTGTCTTGATAACTAAGATAAATTGTAGGCAGCTACATTTTATCATCTATCTTGAAAGAAAAATTGTTATCATCCAATATGCTAAGTGAAGAGTGATGTTTTCAAAAAATACATATAGATGAAATAGCTAATAAGCTGAGAGAATAAGAGAAATTACTAATAATAATTAAAGAAATGAGATATCTTTACTAATTGCTTTCATAATTAAAAATGAAATTATGCCAAATAGCATTTAATTTATTGTTACTATAACTTTATAGTAATTGATCAAAAATTACAATTAAGACTAGTACAAAGTAAAAAAAATAAAAGAATTAGAACACAAAATGGTACCGAAAAGAAAAATAGAAAAGTACACCGTAAAAAAAAATAAAAGAAATATATAAATATTTCCCCTTTATCGATTTTAGTAATTTCAGCTCCTTTTCTTAAAATGCAACAAATGATCTCTTCTTTCCATATCCCATCCTTATCTTCAGTCCATATCAGCTAAAGTCCATTAAGGTTTAGCAGAGATAACAACATATCAATTTTAACCTTGACCAAATAAACCCCTCCTTATCTGGAGAGGAATTATAAAGAGCCAATCTGCTTTCTAATTATTCATTCCAATCTCTTTATTAACTCTACTTTTAGCAGGGTTGTCTTCCATTTACTATTTCTTCCCTAGTGTTACCTAGAATTTTTATTAATAAAAATCAACCCTGTATTTTCTGATTGCGTGCATAGTTGTGTAAATTATGACAAAACACGGGGTGCTGGGAGAAAAATTAAACTCATTTAAAGGAAAAATACATACAATGATGCATACCGAATGATACTTTTTGATACAGTGCTGAATTTTTATTGTAGGCCAATACTTTCATGTATTTTTATTTAAACATGTCTAGATAGATGGGGGTGGGGAAGGTGTGAAAATTGCCTTTTGTTTTTAGATATAGTCCAGATGTTTTGTAAAATAGTCATAATTGTTGGACTGGATGATTCCAGAATACTAGCTCCTATGATCATGAATTTTCAAAAATAAGTTCTTTTATATTGCATTTGTATTGTTACGTAACAAGAATGCAGTCATTACTCTATGAAGTTAGAGCTTCTTGCTGTATTATCTAGAACGCTGCTTTGGATTATACTCTGACATAGTTGAGTTCATTTTCAAAGACCGTTCAGTCTTTAGAATGCCTGTATATCTGGTGATTTGACTCTTAGCTATATTTCGGTGATTCACTTGTCATACACTAAACAAGACATTTGCTTCTTGTATGCAAACATAATAAAATCTGGAGTGGTAACAACAGAAGCATCATGATTCTGCATTCCAGCTCTAAACAGAAAAACTACTGTGGGTTTTTTGGAAGCAGTGTATATTTCATCTCTTCACTCACAAGCTAGCTTTTATAGACAGCTATAAGTTTGATCCAGCCATTTTTACAAGCAGTGCTTTGTTTGCATGCAAAGGACCATTCACTTAGATGAGTGTTCTGGGATTTGCTCTTATTGCTATAAATCAGAATGTGATCTGGGTGCTGCTGCCAGAAATGGTCAACTTAAGTCAAATTCAGTTGAAAGACTTGCCCAGAATATAGTGCAAAGGACAAAAAATGAAGAGCAATGATTGATTATCTGTTTTCCTTCATGCTAAAGCTACTTGAAAGTAATAAATTTGAACAAGACTGATGTTGGGTTGTCATCAACACATTGAATAAAACAATGCATTGGCTAATGTTCTTTGGGTCGTTTTAATTTCCTTCACAGCTGGCTGAAGAGCTGCAGAATAATCCATTAAACAACGAGATCAGAGAACTCTTGCAGCTGCTATCCAAGCCCAATCTCAAGGTAAGAGTGTGTGGTTTGTACCTGTTAACCTGCAGGATTGCTCACTCCTCAGTCTTCAAAGTATTGTGACATACTTCTAATATTTCTATGAATATTCCTGTGTCCATGTGTATGTGCAGAATTGCTGGAATAAAATGCTGAAGACAGTTAGAGAAAAAGATCTATAGTACAGCACATTGTTTGATTGTAATTTAATGATATATTTTATATCTTATACCATACAGACTAAGAAGCAATAATGTATTAAAACATAAATATAAATATTTATAGCTAAAAATTCATTTCATTGCTACCATCCAAAATCCTTATACGAAAGACTGTTTTTACTGCTATTAAGCCAAATTTTGCTACATTTTTATCAACTTTGGACAGGATCTCAGAAGTTATCTAGTTCAAGCGGTTGTTCAATGTAGGATCTGCTAAAACAGTTTGGACAAATGTCCACCCATTTGTGCAGATCTTACTATGATGCAAAACATATCCAAAGAATTTACCAAAACAACTGGAGAAAATTCAGTCAGTTTAGTCAATCCTGTAAGTCATTCAACTGTGTCTTGCAGCAAAGTCAAGCTAACATAAGTATGTATATATGTAAATCAGTGGTTCTGTGGGTGTGGCTTATTTTGTGGGTGTGGCTTGACAGTTATGTGACTGGGGTGGGAGTGGCTTGGTGGTCATGTAACTGGGTGGGAGTGGCCAATTTTGCCATTTTTGCAGTCCATTAAACAATACACAGCAGCCCCCTTTTCTACTCCTTTTAATAGTGCATGAAGTTTTTGCTCTAGGTTTTTTTTTTTTTTACTAGAGGGGAGAGGTTGGCAATGCCTGGGGATCTCTGGGAATTTCTCCTCTATGTTAGAGGCATCAAAATAACCAAGATAATATAAGGTTTTCTGCTGGAGCAGGGGGTTGAACTAGATGACCTCTGAGATCCCTTCCAGCCCTGGATTGCTGTGCTGTTTCAAAGCATCATCTGAAGCTGTGACTAGTGCCAGGTTTGTGATCCTTCCTTCCTCTCTTTTTTCTCTCCCTCCCTCCATATCTCATTTACTTTCCCTTCTGTCCCTCCCTCTCTCCCTCTTTCTTTCTTTCTTTCTTTCTCCCTTGCTCTTTCTTTCTTTCTTTCTTTCTTTCTTTCTTTCTTTCTTTCTTTCTTTCTTTCTTTCTTTCTTTCTCCCTTTCTTTCTTTCTCCCTTGCTCTTTCTTTCTTTCTCTCTCCCCTTCCCTTTCTCCCTTCTTTTCTTCCCTTTTTTTCCCTTCCCTCTTTCTATCTTTCTTTCTCCCTTCCCTCCCTTTCTTTCTTCCCTCCCTCTTTCTTTCTTCCTCCCTTCCCTCCCTCCATCTCTCTCTCTCTTTCTTTCTCCCTTTTTCCTTCCTCCCTTTCTCCCTTCCTGTAAAGAATCCCAGAAGGTCTTTGGTAGGAGGAAGAAAAGCCAGATGTTTTGAAACTGAGAACATGCCCTTTGATCATCTGGCATTCTTAGAGCTCCACTATTGATTAGCCTGAGCAAGGATAACTAGCAGCACTTTCAATAAGCTCTCAAGTTAAGCTCAGTGCACTTGTGGATCTGCAAACGGTGATGGTTTCTTTCTTTATTTCTCCCTTGAAGACCCCCTCTGCAGCCTGTTTTTGCTCCCAGGGGGCTGCAGTGAGGCTTACTAGGCACCCCCACACCCCGTTTTGGGCCTAGCAGGCCTCCCTGAAGCCCCTGGGAGCCATAATAGGACTTGTGGGGACTTCTGGAAGGGGCGGGGGAAGGTAAGGTTGCGAGCTCAGTGTGGATGGTGGGGGGCGCAGTAAGCTCTGAGGAGGGGGCGCTAGCGCAAGTTACCTTAGGCAGGGGGAGACAGCTCAGTTGGGACACAAGATAGGCACCAGATGGGAACTGGGAAGGCAACTTAGGCAGGCAAGCCGCCCGGGAGGTGATGAGTGACTGAGTGGGGTGGTGGAGCGAGTGACGGGGAACCAGTTCGGGGGCATGGCCAGCCTGCTATCCCTACTGGTTCGGTAACCCAGGCCCAATTTCCACTACCGGTTCGTCCGAACCCATGCGAACCGCTAGGAACCCACCTCTGATGTAAATGTGTTACACACACAAATGCTCTCAGTGAATCTGCATTTTTTCCTTCACCTTGGTTTGTAAATGTGAAAATTACCATTCCAGTTATTACAGTTCACATTCAAATGGGTTCTCACATTGCATAAGCCATAATGTCTTTTGTTTTGGCATAGCAGTTTGTGTAGATCTGCCCAAATGAAAAGTAAACAGTACATGAACCTTGCCAATTGTAATATATTATATAAAGCAAGGAAGTAAGGATAAATAAACCATGGTTTATTTATGTGTTTATCCAATTATTATGTTGGATCTCGATTCTCCCTTACCATCTTCTCACTGGTTTTCATTTTAACAAGAACTAAGTTCAGTTTGTAATAAACTTAATTTTCTCTGCATTCAACTATGCTATGACTCTCACAGGTATACAAATTTATCTTGGCTTATTGTAGAAGCTAGGGAGGGTGGGGTCCATCTAGTAGGAGACCTCTAGGAATTACCAGTATTGTTGGCTGAACTTAGAAATGACAAAGTCATATTTCCATATTTAATATTGCTGCCAAGAAAATGATCTGAATATGTCCATCATGTGGTCCTGAATCAAGTTCATTTTGAAAAAGAATTCACCTTTTCAACTTTTTCAAATTTATCTGGTAAGTTCTTCCATGCTAAACCCCATCATGTGGTGGTTATTGTGCCTGGTTTAGAGTGACCTAGTTTGGGGGATTCTTAGCTAATTGGCTTTTGCAGTTTCTGCTGAAGTAGAAGTTTCTGCTTCCAAAATATGTGGATTAAAATAAAAGTTGTGAAAAACGGTAGAAACCGTATGCTTCCTAAATGCAATTTGGTGATGTACATAGGCCAAAAGCATAGCATTCAGATGAATCTTTTGAGGCATTACAATGATAATGGGATTGGTATGTATTCAAAGGAAAATTGGCATGTGTGTGGCTAACATAGAAGACGCATCATGCTTTCCTGCATCAGTGTTAATAACAACTGAAGCATTGCTGCCTCATGCGATTGAGTACACTGAATTAATTTTATGTTTTAGGAAAGAGAAAGAGTTCTATATGTCAGGCTGAAATGTTCCAATTTGGTTCCACTTGGTGTGGTGTATATTTTGGGGGAGTACTTCAAGAAAAGCATAGACTTCTTATATCACAATTGTTAGATAGTTGGCAGTTAGATTGTTCTAAATAAATTTGAAAATCAGTGCAAATATATTAAGCAACAAATCTTAAATTTTGAGAATGACAAAAATTTTGAGAATGATAAAAAATATGAATCAAGCAATCTTGAAGTTACCCAGTAAAGAAAACCAGTTGAATTCTTTAAAGTGATATAAAGTAAGAAAAAGAAAAGTGGAGTTATTTTTAGGGAGCAATGGAAGGGTTTTCTTTTTACTTTTATGCTATCTTGTTCTTTTCCTTGCCTCAGCAATGTAATTTGATATCCATACAAGTTTGTTATCTTCCTGGTTATAGTTGCTTATCCATTTGCAATAACTGGTTTAATGAAATAAATTTGAACATAATATGAGTATATGCTGGACTACTGTCTATTATGCCAAAACATATTATAAATCTTTATGTTTAAAAGTTTCTAAATGAATACTGTACAGGTAATCCTCAACCTACGACCACAATTGTGCCCAAAATTTATGTTGCTAAGTAAGAAATTCTTTAAGTAATTTTGCCCCATTTTTTGACTTTTCTTGCCACATTTGTTAACTGAATCCCTGCAGTTGTTAAATTAGTAACAGGGTTGTTAAGTGAACCTTAACAGAATAATAGAGTTGGATAGGATCTTGCAATTCATCTAGTACAAGCCCTTACCCAAGCAGAAGACCCTACACCAATCTGACAGATGGCAGTTCAGTCTGTTCTTGCTTGTCATAAGGTCGCAAAATGGGAGTCACGTGACCAGAGACACTGCAACCAACATAAATGTTAATCAGTTGTCAAGCATCTGTATGTAAATCACATGACCATGGGGATGTTGCAATGGTCATAAGTGTGAAAAATGGTCATAAGTCCCTTTTTTCAGTGCTGTTGTAACTTCAAACAATCGCTAAGTGAACTGTTTTAAGTCAAGGGCTATCTGTAGCCACCTAACCTGCATGTTTGTATGCCCATATGTACCAAGACCAAAAAATTTCCCCCCCTCTCTCTTTCTTTCTATCTATCATCTATCATCTATCTATCTATCTATCTATCTATCTATCTATCTATCTATCTATCTATCTATCTATCTATCTATCGGGATCTATCGGGATCTATCTATCTAGCCATCTGTCATACTACAATACAAAGTTTATTTTGTTTTATTCCCAGCAATTATTCTTCCTGTTATCCTGTGATGTTCTTTTGTTTTACTCTCTACTCAATTCTATTTTATTTACTATTTTATAGTCTGTCCAATTACTACAGTGCTGTGTTCTAAATAAAAAAAAATACTCTAATATTGTTTTCTACAATATTTAATTACTTAAATTATCCAAATCTGTTTTTCCTTTGGTCTAAATCTCCTAGTCCTTTCCTCCCACACTGTCCCATAGTTGTGTGACTTCAATACAGGTAGTCCTCGACCTATGGCCAAAATTGAGCCCAAAATTTATATTGTCAAGTGAGACATTTGCTAAGTGAGTTATGCCCTATTCTTACCTCAGTTGTTAAGTGAATCACTTCAGTTGCTGCTTGTTCAGTGAATCTGGCTTCCCCATTGACTTTGCTCGTCAGAAGGTCGTAAAAGGTGATCACAAGACCTTGGGACACAGCAATGGTCCTAAATATGAACCAGTTGCCAAGCATCTAAATTTTGATCACATGATCTTAGGGATGCTGTAAAGGTTGTAATTGTAAAAAAAAGTCATGAGTCACTTTTTCCAGTGCCGTTGTAACTTTGAATGGTTACTACATGAACTGTTGTAAATCCAGAATGCCTATGCTCTGCATATTGAATGAAAACTGGTTCCTGGAGTCAGTTATAGCATCACCGATCTGATAGTGGCCATAACCTATTTGCCTGCTAGTCAGGAGTGTTGTCTGTTAGGGGCAGGGCCAACTATCCAAATTTCCTGTTATTGTCTCTCTCACCCACAAAACTGTTTTCTGATTCTGGCTGCCTTTTTATTTATTTCTGTTGCCTTTTACTTACCTGTCCTTCAGCTCTTTTTCCTTCTGGTTTGTGGACTTGTTGTCAACTTCAAACTGAACTTGGTAGAAGCCATTTTGTTGTTTCTCAGTTGCCACACACTGAGGGGACTGCGGGACGCGAAGGAGGCTGGAATGCATTGTCAGATACAACACAAAACTATCTCGTGGGAACCAAGATTATCTCCACGAGTGTTGGATAAAATGAAGAGCAGTGCCTAAGGAGCCCGCCAATTAACCTAATTGGACAGTGTGACCTGTGACACCTGGGGAGGGGATCGTTTACTATTTTAACTATACTGAAACTGCGGGGAATATTTAGAGTAGAGGTGGTGTTCAGCAGGTTCTGACCAGTTCTGGAGAACTGGTAGAGGAAATTTTGAGTAGTTCAGAGAACCGGCAAATACCACCTCTGACTGGCACCATCCGCATCTATTCTCTGCCTCCTGAGTCCCAGCTGATCAAGAGGGAATGGGGATTTTGCAATAATCTTCCCCTGGAGTGGGGTAGGAATGGGTATTTTACAATATCCTTCCCCACGCCCACCAAGCCATGCTACGCCCACCAAGCCACACCCACAGAACCAGTAGTAAAAAAAATTGAGTCCCACCACTGATTTAGAGTTGGTTTTACATGTAATCGTTCCTGTATAATGTGCCAGTAAGTTTTTTGAGAAAGATCTCAGTCTCAGAAATCTGATTTGATTGGGGTTTGTTAGTTGGAACCTTGACACGTGTCTTTTCTATGGGTGTTCTTAGCATAGTTCTTGTTCATTTGCTGAACGGTTTCAACTGCTGCTCTTCCTTCTCACCCCATCCCTCCTGAAATCTTGCTGACCTCTTGCAATTGGGGACCAAAAAAAGGGAGTGGGAAGGAGGGGGCACAGTGGCTTGCCATTGGCCCACTTTTCTCTTTTTTATACTATGTACCCATTAGGTAGCTTATAATGGGCATCTGTTTCAAATTTGCTTCTGCTTTTCAGAATTTGTTTTCAGTTTTTTCCCTCTACCATTTGAAAGCTTTTTTTAGAACTTATAAAAATTGATTAACTAGATGTTGCTACAGCAGTATCATCTTTCACGCTTACTCTACTGTTGGAGAATTTTAAAGACTCCCTAATTTAATTGTTTTTATTCGAAAGACTTACTGATGACCTTGTGTGGGCTCAGAAATCAGCAGGATGAGGCATAGTTAGAACTTGGAAGGAAGACTTTCAGGGATTAATAGGGCTGTAAGATAGACTGGAAAGCTGAAAAAAATGTGGCAGCCACCTTTGTATCATGTTTATGAATCATCAGGAGATTTTTCTGTTTTAAGCAAATGGATCTGATTAAATAATTTAAAAAATCCTTCTGAAAGTATGGGTTGAATTAGGAAGGGAGGAAAAAGAGGTGCCATAGAAAAGAAAATGAGTACTGTAACCAGATGGCATGAAGTAGCTGCTTCTTTGAGTGGATATTTAAAAATATGTAGACAGTCCAGTGTCTCCTGATATTAACAATTTCAAAGAGGAGGAAACGAGTTTAAAGAATGCAAAAAGTGATTAACTTTGAATGTACTATATTTTATTAGTAAGAGCTGCAGACCAATTCCCTGGTGCAGAAGAGTAGATGTTCAGTGTTTAGAACTTTCAATGCAGGAAATTATCTTTTTTCTTACATGTAAAAATAAAATTTACCATAGTAAGAAAAAAATCATTGTAATATTATTCAAAATAGCACTATTTCTGCAGCAATAATTGTGTTAAAAAGGATACGCATATCACATCATATGGATGGATATTTTTGAGCTGCTAGTATGTCTCTTGTTTGCAAAAGAGAGAGGGTGGTTAGAAAGACTATGTATTCATATCTTGGTTAGTTAATTTGGAATGATGATGGTGATTGCATTTTTCTTGAGTTCTGAATCAGTTTAAGAATAGTTTTTTAACATATTTTCTTATATATTGAAATGAGAATTGGTACCAATTTCTTTGTGCAAAGAACATTGTACATCAATTATGCATGGTATGGAATTTTAAATGTTCTATTTTGATCAGTTATACACATCCAATATCAATATTTATATTAGATTATATATGAATCATACTAGCTTTAACATTCTAAATGTGATGCATGGTTATAGTAATGGCATACGCCTAAAAATTCTTCTGTTCATATGAATAATAGCTTTTAGATGGTGAATCTGGAAAAATAATAATCCTGTGAAGACAAGATCTCTAAAATACGCATAACCATTAAACATTTTCTTGCTTTTCATGAACAAAAAGAATCCAGTTTTCTGCTTCTCTTCACTGATGTCTTAGAAGTTTGTGTTTGTATTGCAGTTTTGTTAAATTGAACAAATACATCCTTTCAACAATACAGAATGCAGCTCCTTTGATTTTATTCTGGAACAAAGTACTGTTCCTAAGCTTTGAGGGACACATGGTGCCAAATCACTCCTGATGAGATGCAAACTGTATCTAGGTCTGCAACTGTAATGGTAAATTACCAATGCAGATATATGTTTTATGCTTTTTAGTTGACAGTTGTTTTTAACCCAATTTATTTTGCAGGCTTTGCTTTCTGTGCATGATATTGTTGCTGAGAAAAGCTATGATCCTGTATTGCCTCCCATGCCTGACAATATTGATAATGAAGAAGATTCTGTGAAAATCATCAGGCTCGTAAAAAATAGAGAACCTCTGGTATGTTTTAGCACTTAAATAATAATAAGCAGCAACAATAGCAGCAGCATTTGGCTAATATTCTAAAAATGAGTTGATGGCATTACATAGTTTTGTACTAACCAATAGCTGAACTCCATCCAAACTTATATTATTTTCAGTCCTTGCCATACAATTCAGTTTGAACAGTTAGTCACATTTAAGCCGTGCTGATTCTATGCAGCTAGCTAAAGAAAAAAACCAATGGAATCAGGATTCAGAATCTGATTGTATTCTGCGTTTTTATTTTCAACTAGCCAATAAACCGGCATCGCCCGGGTATTTACTTATAGGGGGAAAATGTCCAGACCAAACGTAATTTCTAATGTTGGATTTTACCCTTTCCTCTCCCTTGTGGAATACTGTGAAGCCATTATCATGGCAACCCCACTGCCCTGCACAGTAGAAGCCATTTTACAGTAGTACTGTAGAAGCCATTTTAAGGCACAACTGGCTGTATCTTGACAGAACACACAACCTGAAAGCTTTATGGGTGCCTTACCCCACAATATTTTTCTCTAGAGGGAAATCATCTTGTGTACCAAGTTTGGTTGAAATTGCTCGAGGCATTCCAGAGTTATGCTGGAACACACACACACAAACACACACACACACACTCACATATATATATATGTGAGTGTGTGTGTGTGTGTTTGTGTATATATATATAAAAGAGCCAAGAAGACCAAAGAGGCCATATGTGTTATGCTGTTTTTATATTTGTATGATCTTCTTCATGGGTTGACTTTATGTTCTGTTGTTTCTCCTGCTTCCTTTATCATCTATATTTTGAATCATTTGATGATTTTTAAATTCTGGCCTTGATTGCATTAGTTCAGATGGCTTCATCTTGAACATCCAAAATAGTCTTCTTTTTTTAATTCCAGTTATCAATCATTGTCATGTTTTATCTTTTATCTACTCCCCCCACCATGATTGAACAGTTAACTCAAATATCTTTTATAATCAATCCACAAAAACTTCTTTAGCTTCTGAAGTTCTCAAAAATCAAAATATCAATCAAAAGTTGATTGTGCATCAGCATTTCCTTCTATTTCTGTTCTGTTCTGTTAGAAAGTTATCATTTTCTTCTAAATAATCTTAAATGTTGTTCACTATAATGCTAAATTCAAGATAAAAATCAAATGGGAAAACTAATAATAAGAGCAACAATAATTTTAAAAAATTCAATTTACCAAAAACAGCATCCAGAAAATTGTTTTATGTGGTTCAGCTTTAATTTTATATTAATTCTTAAATTTATTTTTAAAGGGAGCTACTATTAAAAGGGATGAAAACACAGGAGCTGTTATTGTGGCTCGGATAATGCGTGGGGGAGCGGCAGATCGAAGTGGTAAGAATTTTTAAACTACCTTTACAGGTATTGAATGCAGAATTTAATTTCCAAATTTTTAAATGTTAAATCAAGCAAAATCTATTAATTGCTGTCATGGAATTTCATCTTTTATCAGGTATAGATTATTGGAGCAGATGTAGAACCATGATATTGTGTATGTATTATGCATGCAGTACTTTTTTTTAAAGAATTAGGATGTTGTCATTTTTTTCATATTATGGCAGTTTGTAAAATCAGTTTCTATATTTGTATCATGATTATTATTATAGCTTTATTGATTAGCCTATATAGGCCATATCAAACACATATCAATAAAATCCTATGCAAACAATTTAGAATAAGAGTAGGGTAAAATACAGTAATTATAGAATAAGATACAATATAATTTAATACATAAATATGTTAAATAGACTAAAATACATAAAATTATATTTTGGTGTCACCCTTACAATCCACCCCAATCAGTCTCATGTATGCAAATCTCAACCGAACCATTTTGTTTAAGTACTGTGCTGTATTACATGTTATTTTCAGGTTCTGGCTGCACAAAAAGTAGGTTGTTCAAGGTATTCTTGAACAATATATATTACATTTCATGTAGATTGTAGATCTAATATATTAATAATTAGAAATTCTGCTTGATAATGAACAAAAAAGCTTTTATAAACTTGCCAGAAGAATACAGTACACACAGTCCTGGAGAATGTTTATTGAAAAAGAATTTCACTATCTTTGGTTCTATCTATTGTCATTCCATTAATCAGTGAAGTTTCTTCTTCTGAAGATAGAGCTAGATAGAGATTCCTATTCTGGAGGTTTCTCAGTTTTCAACTCTGCCAAAAGCAATCACTTTCATAATTGCCTCCCAGCCCTTAAGAAAACTAGTTCAGGAAATTTTAGGGGCTGCTCGGTGATGAAGTGGTTAGGGAAGTTCATCAGCTTAATGTTGGATATTTCCTTGTTGATATAGACACACATGAGCACATATGCACACACATATATAAATCATCAGTACGCAACTAGGCTTGTGAAGAAATAAAGCTAAAGTTTAGTTGTAAAGAGCGTGACTTGAAAAAATGTTCAGGTTGCAGTGGTTCATTTAATATAAGAATTATTTGACTGGTACATAACTATGTTTCGTAGGTCTCATTCATGTAGGTGACGAGCTAAAGGAAGTCAATGGAATTTCAGTGGAGGATAAAAAACCAGAAGAAATTATACAAATTCTAGTAGGTTGAAAACAGAATATTTAATTGAAAAACACAGAAGACTAATTTTTCAATATTGATGTTTTAGATATTATTGTCTGAAGTTCCTAGTAGATGTTTATAAAGAAAAGAGCATAAAGAGAAAGAGTATAAAGCAGTTTCCATAAAAAAGTGAAGCAACTAAGTTAATTTTTTGTAAAAGAACAGTACAAAGCTAATACATATATATTCCTTTTACTTGCATAAAATATAAAATTGATATATTCAGACCAATGCAAAAAAGTACTAAACTAAAAGAAGTATCCTCCCAATATTGTTCCTTAAGCTAAGTTTTGCTCTCTAAGGTGTAAATACATTGGCTCATATCATATGTGAAAAATCTGTTATCGGGTTTTGGAGAAGTTGTACACTCTCAAGTAATAATTCCTTCTATTCAATGCAGATTTAACATTCAAGAAAATAATTTATTGAGTAAATCTTTATAGTATATTTATGGTATATATGTGATAAACATCTATTATCTTCTAAATTATAAACAAATTACATTATATTATATAATTCTGTCTGATAGAAAGAGTATTTAATACATGTACAAAAGCTCAACATTGTTTACGATTACAGAATAGGAATTGTACTGGAATCAGATGCAGATTCAATTTATTGCATCATCTATTTTTTTTTTGTTTTAAATACATAATTTAGTAATTTATATTTACATATTTTAGTCTCTGTCCCAAGGAGCCATTACATTTAAGATTATACCCAGTATCAAAGAAGAAAACTCATCAAAAGAAGGCAAGGTAAATACTTGTTGGATTCAACTAAGATTCTTCATGTGATGGCTGTGTAAAATTTATTACTTACTCAGGTTTAAATGCCAGCTTAATTTATTTATTTTATTTAATTATTTATTTAGTTTGTCACTCATGTACAAAATAACAGGAATAATAATAAACATGAATAAGAACACAAGAAATGGCTACAAATAAAGGGGGACATTAGGCACGATGGTGCGCTTATGCCCTATTGCAGCGATGGCAAACCTTTTTTTTGGCCCACATGCCATAAGTTGTGGGAGCTCGGGGAGAGGGGTGTATGCGGGCACACCGCACCCATAATGCAATATGCGACACCCCCCCCAGTGTGCATGTGTGCACTACAGGCACTCCCCCATTTTTTGAATGCTTTTTTCGCCCTCCCCAGGCTCCAGAGGCTTTATAGGAGCCTGGGGAGGGCGAAAACAGCCGCCCCCCGGAAGCCCTCCAGAGGCTTCAGGGACCTTCAGGAGGCTTCCCTGAAGGTCCCTGAAGCTTCCCAGTCAAAACAACCTTCCGAGCTAACCGAAAGTCACTTCCGGTTTGATTGGAGGGTCGTTTTGAGCACTCCAAAGGCTTCAGGGACCTTCAGGAGGCTTCCCTGAAGCCTTCGGAGCAGTCAAAACAACCCTCTGAGCAAACCAGAAGTTACTTCTGGTTTGCTCGAAGGGTCATTTTAAGTGCTCCGAAGGCTTCATGGACCTTCAGGAGGCTTCCCTGAACCGTCCGTAGCAGTCAAACAACCCTCTGAGCAAACCGGAAGTCCGTTCCCAAACATAGGGCCAATTCTTTGCGCTCCAGAGGCTTCAGGGAAGCTCATGAAGCCTCCGGAGGGCCTCCGGGGGGGAGGCTCTTTTTACCCTCCCCAGGTTCCTATAAAGCCTCTGGAGCCTGGGGAGGGTGAAAAAAGGTTTTAAAAAAGAGTGAACGCCTTGCGTGCCCTGACATGGCTCCGTGTGCCACCTATGGCACGTGTGCCATAGGTTCGCCATCACTACCCTATTGAATAGGGTTACATTCAACAATATGTTTAAGGTAAGGTAAACAGTAGACAATTTAAGGTTAAAGTTACGGGGGTTTGAGGATACAGCATATCCTCATATGCTGTACATATGCATATTCTGCATATGTAAATGTTGTTTTTAATCATGATAGGTCATTTATTTTATGCCAACAAGCAACAGTAACAATAATAGAATTCCTTAGATTTTAAATAATTCAGCGAATTTTAAATAATTTAAATAACTGAGTGTATTCTTTTCTGCAGATCTTTATGAAAGCTCTTTTTGACTATAATCCCAATGAAGATAAAGCAATACCCTGCAAAGAAGCTGGACTTCCTTTCCGAAAAGGTGATATTCTTCAAATCATGACCCAAGATGATGCAACCTGGTGGCAAGCCAAGCTGGAAAGTGATATCAATCCCAGAGCAGGCTTAGTTCCTTCAAAGCACTTCCAGGAAAGGTATGTTATTACTGATCCGATTCCCCACCTTCACCCCAACACTTAAAAATGTGATCAGTATAACCATTAGAGCTGCTCTGGAATGTAGCACAATGCCTGAACTCCGTATGCTGTCTAGGGAATTCCGTGAGTTCTTAAAGTAACCAAGTTTGAAAAATAATGGTTTAAATTGAATGTTATTGTTCAGCTGTTTATACTGATAATGACAAAACCTGACAGAACATTGATAATCTTGTTTGTGAGAATAAAATATATGGAAAAGAGGACACCAGTATCTACACCACTACTTGTAGAATGTACTGATGTGTTGAGACAATATTATCACTTCCTTAAAAAGAAGAAGATTCCAGAATTTATTTTAGGAGAGTTGAAATAAACTGCACTGTTAATTATGTCTTTTAAAATTCTTGGTGATTTAAAAAAACAACAACAACCATACCAGATAGTCCTCGATTTACAACCATTTGTTTAGTGACAATTCAAAGTTAAAATGGCCCTGAAGAAAGTGGCATGACTGCTTTGCAACCATTGCAGCATTCCCATGGTCATGTGATCAAAATTCACTGATAATTTCAGTGTCCTTGCAGAAGTCATGTGATAAACTTTTGCGGCCTACCGACAAGCAAAATCAGTGGAGAAACCAGATTGATTTAGCAACTGTATTACTAACTGAACAACTGCAGTGATTCACTTAACAACTGTAGGAAGAAAGATCATAAAACGAGGCAAAACTCTCTTAACCATGGTCTTGCTTAGCAATAGAAATTTTCTGCTCAATTGTCATCATAATGTGAGAACTACCTGTACATATTTATTGATACCAAAAGAGGATTAAAAATAAAAGAGCTTAAGTTTTGTTTTCTTCTCCTCCTCAAATTACTTGATAGGAGACTTGCTTTAAGAAGATCAGATGTACAGTTTCGGCCCTTGAAGATTTCAAATAAGAAATCATGTAAGTCTGTTGCTGCACAACTTGCTTTCTACATTTACAAATTACTTAGGTCCATGCATTAAGGAATGATGCTATTCATTCTTTAGGCCCAAACTTCTCTGTTAGTATAAGGAAAAATTGCTGGTTTTGCTTTTGTTACCAGACCTTAAAGTAAATGCTTTTACTATGGTAAAGAAAGTAAAATTGATGTAGGAAATAGATTGTTTCTTTAATCATTTAAACAGTTCTATTAATGTATCACTTTTTTTTATAAATTTCAGGTTACTTTTAGTTCCAAAAACAAACATTCTGTAATGTAATTACTACTAAATTTCAAATTGCACTATTAAAAAAAACCTCTTGTTATGATAAAAAAACATTTGTTACACCTAGAATCATATCATATTTGTGTATTAATTTTCCACTTCATTAACATGTGCTATTGAGAACATTGTAAATAAACGATGTTTTGTAGCCATATTTCCACTATCCCCCCTTTCCATGCTGGAATCGATAGAAATACTTCATCAAGCCTATTATTATTCCGTTTTCCTAAAGCTTTTGTTCTATATTGTGAAAACAATGTTTGAAATAATCTTTGGTTTATTATTATTCTCATTCTCATTATCTACCTCAGCACCATGCTCCATGCTTCATCAATTTTCATTCTGTCAGCATCCGAGTTTGATGATAGGATATAAGAAAATAAAAGGTTTAAAACACGGATGATTTGATGAAGCTAAGCAAGCCATGCTTAAGAAAAGATTCTATAAAAGAATAAACATTTTGAGTTCAAGAGATATTTATTCTTATCTTCCTCACGCTATCAGAATTAGAAATAAGTAAATAAAAACAAGAAAACAATGAAGCTCAGAGAGCACCAATTATATATGTTGCACAGGAAAGAACAATAATGATACCAGTCTACCAAACATTCAAGCCTTTAGCATTTGTCCAGCTGTTTCTAATGTTTGATTGAAATTCTGGATTTGAAGAAATAGGTTGTGTTGATTTTCAGATGAGGTCTGAAGATTAACTAATCACAAATTTCTGGAAGGTAGAGTCAGCCCCCCCCCCCAAAAAAAAGGTTCATAAACTTGTCAGACATCATGGAACCAGTTGTAGATGACTAACTCTTTGTTTCATATAGCAGCACCTAGTGCTTAGTCATGTATGTAAATATGTGTTGTCTCAATTGCATGTTACCCGTTTGATGGTTTCTCCTGAGGACTTGGATCTATCGTTCTTACAGTCATTCAGCATAATGACCTTTTGTTTGTGTTGTGGTTATTTTAGATTTCATGTGCCCTTTAAAGAAATAAAAACAATTCATTATTCGGCCAGATCTTATTTCATGAGCAGATGTTAAATTCAAAGGGCAGTATTCAAACAAGAATTAAAATTACATATTTTATGAAATCTGAAAGAGTAAAACCAAATTTATATGCTGGCATAACTGATAGCAATACGTCTATTAAATTTTAGAGTCTGGTAATTCATTTTTCTTAGTAAAATACTGTCAATTTGCAATACTGTCTTGTCAATTTGCAAAATATCCCTATTATCTCAAAAATGGTATTTTCCTCCTATAATTGAATTTAGAGGTGTTTTTTTTTCATGTTTACAATTATAGCAAAATAATTTTGGCCTGATTTTTCCACCTTTAATTTGATTAGCACCATGCTTCTATCATAAGTGTACTCTCTTTAAAAATACAGTATTCACCCTTCGATATATTTTTTTTGCACAAATTGTTTTTGTGACATAATTGTAAAGTTTATGTTTGAAAATGTTTTATTTATTGTTTTCACTAAATTAAATCATGTCTCTAAAGACTTTTAAACTTTGTCTAACATCCTACAGTCTGAAATATTTTTTTTAATGCTTTGTGTACACGTGTTCTAGATTGATTTATGACCCTTTATGGATTGATACTCAGTAATAAAATATATTATAAACTAGAAGGCACTGACTTTTCCTAAAGTTTATTGGGAAAAGTTTATACATCACCCATGTCTTCTAAATTGTACATGTGAAGGAAATTCTTAGTCATTCAGAAAAACTAATTGGACAGGAAATGTTCTACGTACAGAATTATCTGTCTATTCCCTCAGAAGACATTTGTATTTTAAAATAAATTGGGTCAATATCTTTTTAAATAATGCACGGGACATTTGTTTAATCATTTTCTTTTATTCATTATTTCACACCCCCACCCACTTTTTTGGATATTAATTTTTCTTCTAATTCTGTAGTAATTCTTACTCGTTCAAGTCATGGTAGTCCCAAGGTGCTTTTTCCAAAACAAAGACTTTCTTGTTTTGTTCTGGTTTTTTGTTTGAAAACATTTCAATTCTCACCAAGAAGCTTCTTGAGTTCTAAATTAAGCTAAAGTTGAACTGAAAAAGCTTCTTGGATGAGAAATGAAACATAGTCAGAGAAAAGAAGAAGAAAGTCCAGTTGTGTTTTGGAAAAAACACCTTGGGACTTCTTTTCACTCATTCTAACAAAATGAGCTTCAGTATAGCAGTAGATACTCTATTGCTAAATATTAGTTGATAATTCATTGACAGCTCTATATATAGAAACAATAAACATCTTACAGAAAAACAGGTACCGAGTTAGTGATATAACTGTATGGCTCAAGTCCCTATTAGGAACTCTTTGAACAGCTCTGGCCTTGAAAATTTGAACACGTTATTTGAATTCCAGATCATAAGGAGGGAAGTTGGGTTATGAATTGATCGTAGAATTATGTGATTGAAGGTGCCATAATATCGGTATACTACTCTTGGTAGTTCAACATCATAGTTAAACTAAACAAATGACTATTTCCGCCAAAAAAATTAGCTACCTTCACTTCTGTCTCAGCTGAATGCTTTGTTAACGAGAGAAAACAAATTCTGGCAAATTTAGCAGAGGCTAAACATTTGCCTAGTACTGGCTGTCCCACAACAGATGTTGCGTCAATTAACAAGAGCAAACTTTGGGAACCTACTTCCCAATGAGAACTACTTAGAATTATGTTCTTAATGCATCCTCAATGCTACTCAACTATATGTTTTCTTTCGTAGTTTTATTATTATTTGCTGAAAATATTATTTTAAATAAATTGTGTCTGCTTGTTTGTTTTTTGGCTCTTCTAAGCTGAGGAGACTGTTGAGTGTGGTAGGTGTCTTTCTTCCGAGTTTTACATTTTTCATTCTTTTACTGTGTTCTCAGTCTGTATAATCTTGCCTCCTGTTTTTCCCCTCTTTTGCTTTTCAGAGAAAATTGAAGGTACACGTGTAAGTTTCACTGCTTGGTGGTAGAGATGGTCTGAAAGCTAGATTAATTATCTCTACTTTAGAAGCAATTAGTAAAATAAATGTGGCTTGTAACTGCACATTTAGTGATACAGACTAGCAATTTAGCTATTGCGATACAGTTCCAAATCTGAGTTGTGCTGTGAAGGCTGTAAGCAAGTTGGCCATGCGCGAAGGTAACGTGCATGCATGAGGATAACTGGGGTAAGGCATGGGGTATTACTCAAGGATATGCCTTTTCTATTTATTATTCCCTCCACATTTCTCTTCCCACCTAACAGTGCTCTGGAAAGAAAAAAAATCCTGCAGAAATATGTTTTGGTATATGGATTGAATTTGCAAGCTTTGGCTAAATTTGTGGTAATTTAATTGAATGTTACTGAAATAAAACCATAAGATAATAAACAAGGGTGCATTTATTCAAAACATCCCAGCTGACCTAAAGATAGAGTCAGTGCTGTTGCATGATTCTAAAGAATTCTTTTTTTTTTAAAGTATTTTTCCATTGCAGATTTCAGCGACATAATTTTAGAACCTATTTTCTCAATTTACAGGGTTGTATTTTTTTCCTTCTTCTTGACCTGCTGTGCTGCTGTCATTTGCAGAATACATAACAATTGCAGGGCATTAATTCGCCAAATCAACCAATTATTATAACTTTGTCAAGAGAGCTCTAGCGTATTATGACAAGCATAAAAATATTTTGGATTGAGCAAATGTGCTATATGTTCATCAGAAACCCTTTCTGTCTGATCCATTGAGCCAAACATAAAACCTCTTTGATATTCTTTGTAAATAATTTCATCTTTGCTTCAGCTACTGTAATTTTTAATCTTCCACTAAAGCTAAATAGAGCACCTTTAATTTCTGTTATAAAAAGGCAATAAAGACATGGAATATGCATGTTGTTGTGTTGCAGAATCTCTTATTCAACTATAGAAAAATACGCTGATTTATTTTTAAACAATGGTTTATCGAAGGCTTTTCATGCTAAGCTTTATATGGTTGTCATTCTGAAATAACTCTTCTTTTGCATTTATGGCTGGGCATCTAACTATTCTGCTTTATTTCTTGGCTTTTGTTCTGTATGCTTTTACACTTCATCCAGAGGAAGTTGAATGTGCTGGTCACAACAATGGAGCCCTTATAGGTGAGCCGTTGCTTACATAAGACTCTTTTCTTTCTCAGCTTTTTCCTGGATGGGCTACAAATTTGCAGGTAACAAATTGGCATCGCTGCATGTTGTAAAACTGTTAGAATAAAAAAAAATGGCTCACTGGATTGGACACAAAGGATCAATCTATTAAAAGTAATCTATTAGGGAATTGATTTTTTTTTAGTTGAATTTGTGAAGAAAGTGACTTAATTTTTTTAGAATTATTTATTACAGCATTTCAATTACATTTGAAGTTAGCATTGGCCTGACTCCTTGCCCTCGTGTTTCAGGAAATACTATCATTGGCAATTCCTTCAGCTTTGTGATCCATACCTTCTTTGTTTTTACACATGTATTAGGAAGAAGTTAGGTTGGAGACAATAGAAGAATAATTTAATTAAAAGCATGAAAGTTCTCTTAAAGACATAAGTTTTTAAAAGTAATTGACCTTTTGCAGACCACAATGTCACAGGGATCTGCTAAGGCATGAAGAAATTTTATGATTTAAATCTTGAGTTAGGTCTTGGTGCTCCATGGCCATGATCAATGGCCACAAAATGTATTTAAAGGGCATCTGTGGTGAAGAAAAGGTTGAGAACTACGGATGTAACAGAAAATTTATGCACAATTAGCTTGCATATAGCAAATGAAGCAGTTTACAGAAACTAGCACCAATAGATGAAGAAGACCATATAATGCAAAGGAAGTTTTTTGTCATCATTGCCAATGAATTTTAGGAAGTAACATCCTCAGTGTGTTGACATAACATTGTTTCTAGCCTCGTACTATGTTTTATATACTAGGCACAGTCAAACCTATCATACCATTGATGAGTGAATTATATATAAATGCCTAAGGAACTGGAAAGGTGCATCCAAAGTATACTTTATTTTCTCCAAATAATGTATTAAAATCTCAAGCAGATTCTACAAGATGCCACAGCTTTGTGACTGTCTCTGTATTTTGTCGTGATGCAAGATGCAGTCAAACATCTGATGATAATATGTTATGTGAGTCCTTTATTTGCAAAATGGCAGAAAATCCAGGATTCTCCCCACGTTGTTCTTCTTGAAATGAACTTTCTAGACGAGTTAAAAAAATAAACTTAAGAAAGTGCTGTCCTTTTTTGCTCATTTCTGCACCTCGCCTCATTTTTAATTGCTGTATATTTAATTATGTGGTAATCCTGTTTTAAGCAAAATGCAGGATCCCATTTGATCAGATGTGACAAAAGCAGATTGTGATTAAAAGTTAATCAGGTTTTTAGTAAAAAGCAAAAACAACAACATATAACCATGGGTGTCCCTTGTTTGGACTTGCCTGGACTGCATTGCATGAAAGAGGAATTGTCTTGGGTAACATATAAAATATATAATATAGTTAATGTACATAAACATCACTAAACATCACAAAATAATATTAAAATCTTGAGGAGCCACAGAATTAGCTGTCCAGCGCTGCACGTACCCATGGGCTGCAGATTGTACATTCTGCTCTGTATCCATCAATAGTTGAGATTCATTTATGGGTTTCCATGGTAATTGATTGAAGATGTAGAGGCCTATGCAGTTGTTCAGCTGTTTATCACTATAAATCAAACTCTTTCAAAAATAATGCTTTTGAATAATTGTATTGATATTTGTTTGCATCCTATCTTAATCATCCAATAGAAATGTTGTACATAGCGACTAGTGCCTCTCTTAATCCATGTACTAGTTCATTATATTTAGCCATACTTCATTGACTACAACACTATTGGCTCAACAATAGTGTTAAGTAATATTGACTGACTGACTGACTACAGTGAAAAATTATTCCACATTTGCAAATAAAGTGTGGGTGGGAGGAATAGTTTGTTTCCTTCCTCTTTAGAATATTTACAAGCTTGAAGAGTGTCTTAGGGCAAGATGATCATCTAGAATAGTGTTTGGCCACTGCAAAATAAGGGGGAAATGTGTGCTTCCTTTGTGTACTCGGTGTTAAATTTCTGTTGGATAGTAATCCCATATACAGGTGAAACTCGAAAAATTAGAATATCGTGCAAAAGTTCATTTATTTCAGTAATGCAACTTAAAAGGTGAAATTGATATATGGGATAAGACTCATTACATGCAAAGCAAGATAGTTCAAGCCATGATTTGTCATAATTGTGATGATTATGGCGTACAGCTCATGAAAACCACAAATCCACCATCTCAGAAAATTAGAATATTACATGCAATCAATAAAACAAGGATTGTACATAGAACAATATCGGACCTCTGAAAAGTATAAGCATGCATATGTACTCAGTACTTGGTTTGGGCCCCTTTTGCAGCAATTACTGCTTCAATGCGGTGTGGCATGGAAGCTATCAGCCTGTGGCACTGCTGAGGTGTTATGGAAGACCAGGATGCTTCAATAGCGGCCTTCAGCTTTTCTGCATTGTTCGGTCTCATGTCTTGACCCTGGTCTTAATGAAGCACAGTGGTCCAAAGTCCTCTTTTCTGATGAGAGCAACTTTTGCCAAAAGCACCAAAAACTGGTTCAATGACTGTGGGATTATTGTGCTTGATTGGCCTCTCCATTCTTCCTCCATACTCTGGGTCCTTGGTTTCCAAATGAGATGCAAAAGTTACTCTCATCAGAAAAGAGGACTTTGGACCACTGAGCAACAGAACTTTGGACCACTATGCTTCATTAAGGCTCAACGCATCCGTCTACCCCGAGATTTTGGAGCACTTCAAGCTTCCTTCTGCAGACGAGATTTATGGGGATGCTGACTTCATTTTCCAGCTACACATACTGCCAAAAGTACCAAAACCTGGTTCAATGACTGTGGGATTACTGTGCTTGATTGGCCAGCAAACCCGTCTGACCTGAACTCCATAGAGAATCTATGGGACATTGCCAAGAGAAATGAGACCGAACAATGCAGAAAAACTGAAGGCCGCTATTGAAGCATCCTAGTCTTCCATAACACATCAGCAGTACCACAGGCTTCCATACCACACCGCATTGAGGCAGTAATTGCTGCAAAAGGGGCCCAAACCAAGTACTGAGTACATATGCATGCTTATACTTTTCAGAGGTCTGATATTGTTCTATGTACAATCCTTGTTTTATTGATTGCATGTAATATTCTAATTTTCTGAGATGGTGGATTTGTGGTTTTCATGAGCTGTAAGCCATAATCATCACAATTATGACAAATCATGGCTTGAACTATCTTGCTTTGCATGCAATGAGTCTATCTCATATATTAGTTTCACCTTTTAAGTTGCATTACTGAAATAAAGGAACTTTCGCACGATTTTTCGAGTTTCACCTGTATGAAAGAGACGTTATTCCACTTGCAGGAGGGAGAATACTTCAAAATGAATATTTTCATAAGATAGGTAGGTAGGTTTGTTTCCATGTGAACTTATTCATGTAATAGGTATATGCTCCTGTCATATAGCCATGGTCATATTTAGGTATTAGAGATTGTTTCTTCTCCCATGTAATAGATATTTTCTTACAAGCTAAGATACTGCTACTTACAATGTTAATTCATAGGTTTCTTATTATTAGACTTAATATTCAAAGCAAAATAATTTTTCGCTTGTATTACTTAATACTGTGTGTTTTTATGTGTGAGTTTGTGTGTCTGTGTGTCTATGTGTGTGTTTGTGCATAAAGGTGTGATTCAGTTTTCTATTATGAATATTTGCATACATGTTAAATTT